GGAGGCATTCTGCGCGCGCGTGTGTGTCTGTGCTGGCTTCGGTAGCGACGGTGGCGACGCGCTCCCCTGGTGCGAGCGCTCTACTTTTCGACGCGGGTGGGAGGGGGGACGGGGAGGAGCGGCGGGAGGGCGCGCGGCGCGTTTTCGTAGCTGGATGCGCGCGAAAGTTGCGGCGGCAACGGGCGCGAGCGAGGTGCGCGCTGACAAAAACGTCAAGCCGTTAAATAAATGCAAGGCGGGGGCGCGACGGTTTAGTGCAGCGCGGACGCGCCGCCTGCCGGGCGTGCGCGGAGGGGCGCGACGGGCGACCGCGCGGCGCGTGCGCGCGGGGAGTCATGTTTGCCCGGTGAACGGTGTGGCGCGTGGTGTCGGGCTGCGCGCGACGTGGGCGCGCACGCGGTGGAGGGCATCGTGCAGCCGGCGGTGGTGCGGTGCGGGAGGCGGTGATGGGGCGATGTGACGTCACTGCGCGCCCGTGGCCGTCGCACTTGGCGGCAAGCATCAATGGTAATGCTTTCCTAAATGTAGCATTACCTTGCCTTGCCTTACCTTGCTCAGAGCTCTCGCATCGTTCCTCGCAAGGAGCATTCGGCCTGGTGCTTGCTTGCATCGTGCTGCGCCTTGGTCATCATGGGGTCAGTGGTCTTCGATTGTTGCAGTATTGCAGAATTTTGAAAAAATCATTGCAGAATTCTGCTTGCGTAAACCCACTACTGTAGTAGTATCTCGAAACGTGTCCAGGGTGTCCACATACACGTCCCACACGTGTTCAAACACACCACATGTCAGACCAATACTGTAAAGTGTACAGTATCGCAACTCTCATTACAGCTCCGCGAGTCGACTACACGTGTACAGAGCTTTCTCTATACAGTAATTTAGCCATTTGCTGGAAATGCAGTCCGTCGAGGGCATGAGTCCTGTCTGGACGATTCGGCACACGTGTACATTGCAGATGCGCACGCTCCTTACATTACATGTCTCTTTCTTGATTGGATGGTTTCGGCAGCAACGCTCCGTCCTCGTCGCTTCATTGGCTCATGCCCATGTTTCCCTGCTGGACAAATGACACCGCCCAAACAGCCCACCCCCCCAGATCCCCCCCCCCCCCGCCCGCCGTTCTATCCCGCTCCTTGGCGAAATCCGTGACATACAGGCGATCGTCGTCGCCCGCCTACCCGAGCAGCGGAAGACGAAACCCTCTTCGTCCCTTGGTCCCCCGACGTCTAAAGCCGTTCTCCCCGCCCCTGATCGCCCCCAACGCACCATGCATCCTTCCCCACGCCTCCTCCCACTCGCCCTCGTCCTCTTCTCCCTCTCCCTCCACCTGCACCCGTGCTCGGCCGCCTCCAAAAAGGCCCTCGACTCGCGCGGCCTTCCGTCCGACGTGCCCTACATCCAGTGCCAGGTTTGCCCGCACGTGGCCCGCTCTGCCGTTCGCGCGGTCAACGACTTGCCCGCCGACCGCCACCTGGACACCGTCAAGGTCCTGGACCTGGTCGAGACGCTGTGCGACCCGGCCCAGAAGCCCGCCCGCTGGATGAAGAAGATCGACCTCGTCGAAGCTGGCCCCGTCCTCCGCGTCGCCGAGCAGGAGGGACAGCAAGCTTGCAAGCGCGAGTGCCATACCGTCGCTATCGCGTGTCGTCGCGCCCTCGATTCTGTCGAGACTGAGTTCGCAGAGAGGTTGTATGCGCTTAGGAAGGCAGCCGAGCTCAAGGACGCGGATGTCGAAGACTGGTTGTGCGCCCCGAAAGGGGGCGTGTCTGATGCGTGTAGGAATGACCCCCCGCCAGTGCCGGCCGGTAGGGAACCGGGGCCCGCGTTTGAGCCGAAGAGTGAGAAGGACGTGAAAATGGAAAACTTGTTGGAGGAGATCCGCGCTGCCAATCCGGGTAACAATATGGGGCTTAATATGATGCAGCCGGGGCAAGATGGAATGGGGATGGACGACGATGAAGGTGACGATGACGATGATAAGGATGACGAGGACGATGAGGACGAGGGGGATGCCGAAGAGCTAGGTGGAGCAGAGGAGAACGGCACCGGCAGCGCTGATGGCGCAAACGACGCTTCTTTGAGTTTTGAGGACGTGGGTGAGGTGTCTAATGCGCAAACAGCTGGCGCTAACGTCGGTGGCGAGTCGACCAATGACGAGTTGTAGTAGGCGTTGCGCAACTGCGTGATTTCTGCTCTGCCAACCATACATCAACGGTTTTTTACGTCTACCGCACTACTAAATTATCATTGACGTTTTAACGGGACAAAAAAGAGTTTTGATGGCTTCTAAAAACCATCCGCCACATCATCCATTTGCTGCATGAAGTTGTCAGCTGCCGGGGAGATCTGATTGTTGGCCGCGACATCATAAAGCGTCATTATTATAGTCTCGGACGTAGATTTCGCCCTTGACTCTCGCTACTGGGCGAATATATCGCAAAACATGCTTCTCACCGTAATTGGGCGCTTGAGCTTTGTCCACTTTCGACTGTTACTCAATTTTATAAACGAGGGAAACATATTAACCTCACCCCGCTTTGAGTCGTCCATTTCCGATATTCAGTGATTTCTAAACTGTCTCAAGCCTATGTCGATATGCGACTGGATGTAATTTTTTCATGAGAACAGAGAGGAGAAAAGAACAGCAAAAACAAAAACAAAATCTAAATATTCTACAGTCGCTCGCTATCCCTAAAGTTAATTGGCATTCGCGATGTCATCCTTCGGAAAACAAGAATAAGACAGGCACCGTAGTTAGTCACGATTCCCAGAAATCATCCCTCCCATTAAAGGAGCATTGTTCTGATCACACTTGTCGAGATATGCAATTGGGAAAGGAGGACGGCCCTCCTTTCAGACACCACGCGGTTTAACGATGGATCTGAATCCTTCACACAGCCTTTTGGCAACAGTTTTGACACTGCGCTGCATGTGCATCGACAAAGGGGGAGCCATGTCGCTCTCTGGTCCGGACAGACGTGGTGACACTTAAACGCCAAAGTCCTGCCCAGCCAACTTCGCCTTCACATTCCCTATCCTCTCCGCTGCTTCTGTGAAAGAGCTCCAATTGGATCCGTACAACTCCCGGCATTTTGACAACGCATACAGATCGGCTAGAGCGTATTTCACACATTCGCCGTCCCGGTCGTCGCATGATCTCTTGAAGGACAAGATGCGGTCCGGATAATGGTCCTCGAGTTGGCCAATAACCTCGTAGGTGTCAGTGGCAACGAAAAACTTAACGTCGGGCTTTTCCTTGATGATCAAATTGATTTGCCTAATGAAATTCTGCACACCGCTCTTCCGCCGCCACATATCCATCGTCTGTGTCGCCTCGTCCCCATATTCCTTGACAAAGTCGACGTTCTTGATATCCTTTTCCAGCGTCCTGTTCCTGACGTGAAGTCCAATGACGCGGTCGGTCCCAAGACCCTGGCCTTCGATATCGGCAATCATGGTCTTGACCTCAGGGATGGGCTCCAACGACCTCAGCATGTCGTTATCCTTTTCCCAGTTGGTCAAATCCGTGTTGTCGGCTTCCATAATGTACGCTCCCTTGTAGTACATGTGTTTGTTGGGGATATCAAAAATCTTCTCCCCCTTCACAGCCCCGCTGCCTTCCATCTCCATGTAATTATGAAACTTGAATTGGGACCACACGGAATCCCATTTTTCAACATCTGCAAACGGCCATTGTACTGGCATCTTCTCTAACACGACAAGCGGAGTCTTGAACATATCAAAGAATTTGGCTTCAATATGGCTATCTGGTTCCCAAACCACGACCAACTCGCGATTTGCTTCCTTGGCAAAAGACATGCAGCTTCCTAGCGCGCGGAGGCGGTTTCCGAGACCATGCATGCAATGGCATATCAGTATCCTGGGCGTCGGGAGAGTGTCAACGTTGACAATCTCCGAAGTACGTCCGGCACGGTCGAGTTCGGCGCGCTTTGCCCTCTCGCGGTTCTCAGTTCTCTGCATGAGACGCTTGAGCAGCGTTTCTTTCTCTTTGATAGCGAGGTTTGCAATAATATCCCATGGCACGGCATAGCTGTCATGAAGGCGTCGGCCAAGGGCTTCAGCCCAAGCCTCCTCGTAACGTTCGGTAGAGACCAGGTCTCGCAGTGCCTTTGGCTTTTCCTCTGCCTCAATAACAATGCTGTTTGCAGACACAGACCCCTCCTTGGCTCTGTAGGACGTGGCGGATTTCGACTCTTTAGTCCATGGCTGCAACTTTGACAAGAGGAGGGAGTTCAAATCGATTTCCACGGTTGCAAATTTGACGCCCGACTGGGCACGGTCGGAATCGTCGTGCTTAACATGGGAAACATGGTCGTAGGAAATATTCATCTTCTTCAAGCCGGCCTTGTCCAACCTGTTGTAGAGGTCCTCGTCATCCCAGCCATAGGTCTGAATGCGTTCGTCATAGCCGCCAATATCCACAAAGTCTTTTCTGCGAATAAAGACGGCACCGTTGAGATGGACCTCGTTCTCGTTGCGGGCCAAGTTGTAGTTGCCCGCATAGAAATGCTTGCCGGTGGTGGCAGTGTCACCGACAGCCGAGCTCTGCGCGTGCTCCATAAGCTTGCTGTGGGCATCGACAAAATCCTCACCAACCTGGTAATCACAATCAGTGCGGATAATATGCGAGTACGTGGCGGCCTTAACGGCAAGATTGTATGCACGAGAGAGTACCCAAGACGTCTCGCCATTGACGCGGATGACCTTGACGCGTTCGCCTTCGGGCAGGCTGCGAATGACCGGTTCCAGCGGCGGCTCTGAGCTCCAGTCAACGAGAATGATCTCATTGACATCCTTGACATTGAGCCAGGCCGGGGCAGTCTTCTTGACGGTATCGTGGCGTCCCATGCAGACGGCGACGAGGGTGACACCCTTCTTTACTTTTGCTTCGGGCACAGAAATGCGGATTGCGTGATCACTCATACTGGGGTGATGGTCAGCTGCGTCTGAGGATCCGAGGGTCTTGGAAGCGAAAGCGTTAAGCATGGCGACGCCCGAGCCGACGCCGATAGAGTTGGCGAGAGCACGAGCGGCGGAGGACTCGCCATTCGGGGCGGCGGGGGTATTTTCTGCGGGGGCGGCGGGCGAGGAGTTGTGATTGGTGAGGATGACAAACAGGGCGGCGAGCACAAACAGGACCTGCAGAAAGGCGGTGCGCGGAATCTGGAGAAAAAAAGGGGAGGAATGCGGGTTGCGGCGGCCCTTGGCCGAGTAGAAGAGACCCGAAGAGTTCTGAAATTCGGGCAGGCGCTTGATGGGGCGGCGCAGAGCGGCACCAGACGCGCCGTCGTCGTAAAACCGGCAGACCTGAGCGCGGGCCATTGCACTGGTGCGAGTGTCTGCAGAGGCGGGCGGCGGTGGGTGGGGGTCGCGTGGACGAGAGACGGCGAGAAGCTAGGGTAGCGTGAGTGCGGGGGTGGGGGTGGGTGTGCGGATGGGATGAGGTAGTCGGTTTCGGTTGGAGATGGGAAAAAAAAAACGGAGGGAGCGGGAGCGAGGGTGCGAGAATAAGTTGAAGCAGGAGGGTCAGAAGGGAGAGAGCTTGCAGGGTTGCCGTAGGAAGAGGACAGGGAAGGGGGGGAGGGATGGAGGCGGGGAGTGGAGAGGGGGTGATGTGGATATGTGTTTTGAGTCGGGAATGCGAGGAATCGGGGGACAGGGGGAGGTGGCGAGCTGGGACGAGAGGGGGCAGGAGGGTAAGTTTCGGAACGGTTTGTGACGGATACACACACGGGAGACTTCAACGCAAGACTGTGCAAGCGGGGGTCCCAAAATAGGGCTTGCAAGGCCGGCGTGCATCCACCGCTTGGGCGAGTTTAGGGGGGGGGGGTGGGGTGAAAAAGCACGCCCCCGACAACGGGGCATGCGGGCCGCCCATCCACCGGCGGGCCCATGCTTTTATTCGTTGCCGCCTATTCCCCACTGTATGTCCCTTTTTCTGCACCCTGCACTGTCAGCACAGCTGCTTTCTCCATCTGTCTCCGCCCGCGTCGCCGCTTTCGTCGCCCCGTCTCCCCGCCGCGATTCCCATCACTGCTGAGCGCGTCGAAGCGTGCCCCCCGCGCAAGGCCCGGCGCCCTTCGTGCCCCGCAGCCCCACCCCTTCCTCCCCGTCCGCGCCCGCTTTGCAACGTCCTCTTCGGCACGCCTCGCCGCCCCGTCTTCCGCCTCCGCCGGGGGCACGCACATGGTCGGTCGATAGTCTACTATCCCCTCACTTGCACTTACCGTAGCCCGTTCAAGGGAGCGCATTGTACTATACCAACGGTACTGTATATTTGGGGCCGCACGGCAAGCTACTGACGTGGTTCTCCACCCCGCGACATAACTTGCTCTCTAAATGGGGCGATCGCGGTCAGTAGCAACGCCACGCGAAGCTTGCGTACCGCGGGCTTGCCCCCCTTCGTGATTACGATATTCGCGCTCGGCGCCGGCTGCACGGCCTCCACACAGGCCGCTACTGAGGCACCTGGACTGTAAACTGCGGACGAGCGGCGCGGTACGAAAGGAATGAGCAAATGCGACTCACTCACTGCACTCCGTTGTCGGCGTGGCGAAATGCATCCTTTCATTGATTGACAGTGCCTCCCTTGCGTCCTTCCGTCCTTCCTTCCGCTTATCCTTTCCGTGCCCCGCCGCCTTCCGTGCCTGCCCCCATGACGATGCTGTACCCACTCGTCCCGTCCCGCACACACGTCCCGCGCATACGCCTCCGCACTCCATTTGTGGAAACACTCCAACACGTTGCGCCATCCCCCGTCCCACCCACTTCTAAATTTATCGGTACAGTACTGTAAGAGAGAATTTTGGCCCCCACCCCCCCCCCCCCCCCGCCCGCGACACCCGCCGCCGCCGGCACGCGTGCCCAAATTGCAATCTCTCCGCCCTCAATATTCCCCGACAACAGCGCGGTGTGAGTGCCAGCTTGGTCCATAACAGCGTGTAGAGCACCCTCGACAGCGGACCAAATGTTTCGTTTGGTGCAATGCACTTCCCCACTGTCTTCCTTCACCACCCACATCGAGAATTTCGGCGGCCTGCACCCTGTCGCGAGCCGCTCGACCTCAGCTGTCGTGCCAAACAGCTACTCATGATGCTGTTGTTGCTGCGCAGTATACTGTACAAGTACCCTTTTACGATAAAGAGCTTGTCCTTGTTGCGAAAGCGAAAGATCTTGCAGTGACGAGTGACTAGTACTGTACACCTTACGCTTCGAGCATCTCCCCCGACTCCCATTGCCCGACACCGCCGCTTCCATCGCTTCCTTCGCTTCGTTTTTCCTCACACGTTCCCCCGTGCCAAATCACGTTGCAAAACATCACTGTGCTGCGCGCTTGCTGATCCATACAATCCCATCTATCATACCGCACCGTAGACAAACCTCGCCCGTGCGGCCGCCGTAGCGGACCCGGACCCGTAGACCCCCTTCCAGACACCTCACCTCACCTCTCGCTACTGTACTTTGCTTGGAGTGGACTAGGCTGGGTCGCGATCGCACGACCTCACCACTGCGCGCGTCTGCCAATGTCAGGAGCTTCCGCTGCAGTACTGTACTGAACAAGTACTGCAGCTCTAATTTGCCCACGCAGCCTACACGGTGCACTCGTGGTTAAGCGGGCAGCGTGATATTGTGCAGTGTCTATTATAGGGTGGCGCCCGCTGTCCTCATCGAATTGCCAGCCGCGTTGTATTCAACTGAACGCGCAAAACTGCACATTAAGGATCGCAGCGACGCCAGTCGAGCCAAAGTCTGGCCTTCGTCGAAGACACTCGCGAGCGCGACTGCACACGTTTGTTGCGTAGTGCTTGTGGACGGGGAGGTTACGGAGAGGGGTGGTTTTACGCACCGCCTACGACCCCCGCTTTACTTACAACAAAGCTAAGACCCTCTGGAAAGGGAGCGGCCACCGTTGTGCATGCGCCATACGAGACGCTACTGTACAGTACTACGGGTACGAGGACTTTGCGTCCACACAGCCGCGTCCAGCACAGCCGCGTCCAGCGGCGCGCAATGCAATTGTGATGCAATATCTCAACGACTTCGCAACGACGCGTACAGTAAGGCGACGGCGGGCGGTCGGGACCCTGTTTGGCGTCCTGCCCGCCCATGCGCAAACGAGCCCCGCGCGCACGACCCCCCACGCACGGCGCGGCACACGCCCGCGGCGCACTCGACGCGGTGACCTGGAAGCGCAGGCGCGGCCCAATCGGGCGCCGCACGCGCGCGTGCGCTCCCCAGACATGCCTTGCTGACATCCGCATCAACGTGCTCTCGACACCCGCCGCGCACAGCACCGCCACCGATAATTGATGCCAAGCAACCAATCGCACGCCGTCTATTTCCCACCGTTTCTTCATTGGCCCCCACCGCCTTGCTTCTCCCGCCCGCCCGCGTGCCTCCAAGTGTTCGCACCCCGCGCGCGTGCCTTTTTCCCCTGCTTTCATGGCATCCCGCTAGCCTTGCTTGCCACGCACTCTTTCCAAATTCAACCTCGCCACACCAACCCCCCCCGCTCCCCCCCACACGCACACACGCGGCATGCCTTTTCTCCGCTTACACTTTACAAAATTCACTCGTCGTCCCACACCACACCTTACACCTAAGCAGAACAGTGCTTTGTCCTCCACTCCCCAATCGCATCATTGAGCAACACGTATTGCCCAACCTCGCACCATGCCGTAGACGCCAATACATTTGTCGCATATGTCCGTACACCTTGTCCTCATCCGCGTCCACGTGTACTACGTGTGTCCGCACCTGCTCCACCTCCTTTTCACCACGCTAGTCCACACCCTCCCTCCGTTCGTTAAAACTTGTCCTGTACGGTATCCACATTTCCCTTCAACCAGATCCACAACCAGATCCACATTTCCTCTCACGGTAATCTGGATCCCATTTCCTGGTTCAACCAAGCTCGTACTGCACCCTTTGTACAGCACCGTTGGTACTGTACTGTGCTCCGCAACAAACATCTCCCTTGTCCCGTCAACCCCTTCCCCCCCCCCTCCCTTTCCCTCTCGCCCCAATACAGTGGTCCCCCCGCCCACCGAACACCCGGCCCAATGTCTCCGGCCTTCCTACCCCCCCCTCTCCCTCTCCCTCTCCCTCTCCCTCTCCCTCTCCAAAGGCCTCTCCCTCTCCCTCTCCCACCCCACACCGCCCCCCAAAGGGGCA